GTAATCCCAGCGTTCTAGGAGGCCAAGGCAGGAGGTTCCCAAGTCTGAGTCTAGTTTGGGCAATTTAGGGAAACACTGTCTCAAAATAAAAATAAAAAGAGCTGGGAGTGGTAGAGCGCCCTGGGGGTTCAAACCCCAGTACTGAAAAAAATATTATCTACCTTGTTTATAAGGAATGTTTGTAGAATATGTGGCAGGCACATATTAAGCTTAATAAATGGTCACTATTATTATTATTAGTATTACTAATTTAACAAATATGTGTCAAGCATCTGCTTAAGTGCAGGGTACTTTTCCAGGCATTGGGGCCAGATCAGTGAACCAAACACTAAGATCCCTTCCTCTTGGGGTTACATTCAGTCAGGAGAGAGGGACAATAAACACTGCCAAAGAGCAAATGGAGTATTATGTTGGGAGGTGACAAATGCCTTGGGGGAAAAAAGGTAGACTGGGGGAGGGTGAGAAATGAAGGGGGATGGTCATTTAATTCTTTTTAGTTTATTTTGTGGTACTGGGGAATGAACCCAGGGTGCTCTTCCATTGAGCTACACCCCCAGCCTTTTTGCTTTTTATCTGCAGACAGGGTCTGGCTAAATTGCCAAGACTGGCTTCTGGTTTGAGATCCTCTTGCCTCCAAGATTACAGCCTTTTGCCACTGTGTCCATCTCTGATTTACCAGCTGCCAGTTTGAGCCTAGACTGTTCCGGGGAGGAGAGAGGCAGGGAGAAACCAGTGTTGTGGCAGTGGTGGAGGCAGGTCATTGTGCCAGAGAGAAGGTAAGGGTAGAGCCAGCCTTTCTCCTGAGGGGGTGGATGTGGAGTGTGAGAGAACCTGCCAAGGCCAGCTGCAGGGTTTGCTACCCACTGAGATGGGCCAGGCTGCAAATGAAACAGGTCTGGGAGCAGAAAGGGAGAATCAGGAGCTCAATTTTTGAATGTACTAAGTTTTATTTGTTTGTTTGTTGTTGTTCTGTGCTGGGAATTGGGATCCAGGGCCTCAAGCATGCTGAGTACAAGCTGTACTACTGAGCTGCACCCCCAGTCAGATGTCTTAAGATTTTAGGTATCAGTTAGACATGCTTGTGAAGATATCTGACAGGCAGTAGGAGTTTGGGGATCAGGCTGTGGATGTACATTTGGGATTTGGGATTAGCACTGTTACAACTATTTTTCCTCCACTCTTGCACTTGATTCTCACACCAGCTAATAAGTAAGGCAGGGCAGGGATCAATCCCTAGCTTGGTGGAATCTATGCAGGTATATACCCAAAAGAATTGAAAAGAGGTATTCACATAAATACTTGCACATGAATGCTCACAGCAGCACTGTTCACAGCGGCCAGAGATGGAAACAACCCAAATGCCCATCACCTGATGAATGGATATATGATCTAGTCAAAAAATGACGTATTATTCAACCATAAAGAACAATGAAAAGGGGAGGGGGGATAGTAGAGGATAGGAAAGGCAGCAGAATACAACAGACACTAGTATGGCAATACGTAAATCAATGGATGTGTAACTGATGTGATTCTGCAATCTGTATATGGGGTAAAAATGGGAGTTCATAACCCACTTGAATCAAAGTGTGAAATATGATATATCAAGAACTATGTAATGTTTTGAGCAACCAACAATAAAAATTAAAAAAACAAAAGAACAATGAAAGGCTGATGCATGCTACAAGATGGACCAACTTCAGAAACATTAAATAAAGAAAAGGAGTCACGAAAGATCACATATTGTATGATCTCATTTCTTTCTTTGTTTTTATTATTTTCTTCTGTGGGATTCCATTCATGTAAAATGTCTAGAATAAGTAAGTCCATAGAAGCAAAAGCAAGGGTTTCAGGGAAGAAGAATGGAGAATAAATGCCAAATGGGTCAGGGTAGGCTGTGAATATATAAATGGTGCAGAACTGCATTGGGGATGGAACCCAGGGGTGCTTTACCACTGCACTATACCCCTATCCCCCCTTTTTTTAAAGAGAGAGAGAGAGAGAGAATGATTTTTTTTTTTTTTTGTAGATGGACACAACACAATGCCTTTATTTTTATGTGGTGCCGAGAATCGAACCCAGGTCCTGTCCGTCCTAGGCCAATGCTCTACCGCTGAGCCACAATTCCAGCCCCCCCACCCGCCCGCAATCCCTTTTTATATTTTGAGAGAAAGTCTTGAAAAGTTGCTGAGGCTGGGCTTGAACTTGGAATCCTCCTGCCTCGGCTTTCCAAGTCTCTTGGATTACAGGCATGTGCCACTGCACCTGGCTGAATCATAGACTTTTAAGTAGTTAACTTTATGTTGTATGAATTTTACCTCAATTTGAAAGAAAGGAAGGAATGGAGGGAGGAAGGAAGGAAGGGAGGGGGAAGCAAAAAGGAAGAAGAAATGGAGGAAGGAAGAAAGAAAAAGAAAGAAGACAACCTCTAGAAAGAAACTTGCCAGGCTCCTAGGTCCCAGCACTGTGCAGCTCCTGCTGCTGTTCTCCAAGAACCCATCAGTCTGGGGACTGTGACCACAATTGAGAGGTTCTTCAGCTATGGGAGAAGGGTAGCCCAGGAAAGCAGAGGGACCTGTCCCCTGTGATGTCAGTGTAGGGCAACTGGATTTCTCAAACCCAAAACCAGGAAATCTGGTCCGACAAGGATGGGATTCACAGCCGAAATCAGCCCTGTGGCTGGGGGTTGCTGGCGTCAGAGAACCTGCACTTCCTGGTCTGTTCTGGTTGGGAAGGAAGGAGCCCCAGAGCTTCCACATTTAACCCTTCAGGGCCCAGGGTTCCAAGATCAGGGAGTTTTAGTCACCACCTAGGAAGAAATGGAAGCTCCAAGAAGATAGAGATCTTCTCCCAAGTCACAGAGGCAGTCAGCGGCTGAGCTGGGATTAGAAGGGAATTGACCTTTATACAGCACCGACTTCATATCCAGGGGCCTCGTCCTGCAAACAGCGAGTCAGAAGCTCCGTTCTACAACTGAGATTCAGAGAGACTTAGTGACTGGCCAACTCTGCACAGCTCTGAAAGGCAGGGCAGGTGGCTGACCGAGATCCACCTGACCCCAAGTCTGCAGTTCCTCCCAGCCCGTCTCTCCAGCGCTTGGTACTGTGGAGTGTTCAAAAGTCATTCCATGAAAGAATGAATGGCTGAGTCACAGGCTGCTCTTTTCCTTCTGCCACACCTCCATCCTGATACACCCGCTTCAAGGTCAGCAAACATTCTGGGGCTCCCATGCGGTTGCCATCGTGACGGAACTTTTAGAAATAACAGCTTTTGGGAAAACAGGACAAAAACAGTGGACTCTTCTTTTGCTACTAGTGAAGACTCTTCTGTCGAAGCTGGCAAGAGTTAACAAAAGCCCCGAAAAGCGAGATCTCCTAACATACCCTTAAAGTTATTAGCACTGACCCCCTTTGTTTGCCGCACCCTGTCACCTTCACCACAGATCTAGGTTTTTACAAAGTTTTTTTATATATATATATATAGTCCTTTTTATTTTTAATTTTGAGACAGGGTCTCACTAAGTTGCAGAGGTTGGTCTCGAATTTGGCAATCTCCCTGCTTCAGCCTTGCTGGGAATATAGGCGTGCCCCACCCTACCCGGCTCAGATCCATGCTTTTTTTTTTTTTTAAAGAGAGAGAGAGAGTGTGTTTTAATATTTATTTTTTAGTTTTCAGCGGACACAACATCTTTGTTTGTATGTGGTGCTGAGGATCGAACCCTGGCCGAACGCATGCTACCGCTTGAGCCACATCCCCAGCCCTCAGATCCATGCTTTTAAAAACCGATGTCTTACAGCTAGGTGTGGTGGCACATGTCTGCAATCCGGGCTACTTGGGAGTCTGAGGCAGGAGCATCGCAAGTTTAAGACCAGCCTGAGCAAGACCCTGTCTCAAAATAAAAATAAAAAGGGCTGGGGGGATGTGGATCAGTGGTAGAACATCCCTGGGTTCAGTCCTCAGTGCCAAACAAATAAACAAACAAAAACTCAGCATTCTTCTGGGGGTCACCACTTTCCAGCCACTCCTTGTTCCTTGGACCCCTGCAGCCAGCACCGCATCCCCCCTTCTTCTGAGTTATTCTCTCCCTTCTCTCCTTCCTTCCTTTCTTTCCTTTTCTTTTTTGGTCCTGGAAATTGAATCCAGGGTCACTCTACCACTGAGCCACATCCCCTGTTTTTGAAACAGGACCTCCCGATGTTGCATAGGGTCTCACTAAATTGCTGAGGCTGGCCTCAAACTTATGGTCCTCCTGCTTCAGCCTCCTGAGTTACTGGAATTGCAAGAATACACCCCCGTGCCCCACTCAGATCATTCTCTTTCACTATCATTAAAAGATCTGTCCCTTTGAAGTTTTTACCTCCCAGCTATACTTATTCACTGACAACCTTAGACAAGCTTCCCTTTCTATTTCCCTCTCCTTCCCCAGTTCCTGTGTTCTGTGTCTTTGCTGTCCATGTGAGGCCCATACTACAACCCCCCTGTCTGCTCAGTTCCCCGAAATCCTTCTCCCTCCATCCCCACCATCCTTGCAGGGCCAACTCTTGGACTTTAGCATCTTATGCCCAAGTTAGAGGACCCTGGCCTGTCAGACCTTGGGTAGCCTTTCCTCTCACTGTGGCCTTCTCCTTTATCAATGTGTTGTTCACACTTCCTGCTTCCTGTTTATCTCTCTCTCTCTCTTCATTAGGGACTGAGCCCAGAGGCACATCCCAGCCCTTTTTATTCTTTCTTTATTTTTTAGCTGTAGATGGACATAATACCTTTATTTATTCATTTTTATGTGGTGCTGAGGAACAAACCCAGTGCCTCACGCGAGCTAGGCAAGCGCTTTACCCCTGAGCTACAACCCCAGTCCCTTTTTCTTTATTTTGAGACAGGGCCTTGTTAAATTGCCTAAGCTGGACTTCAACTCGAAATCCTCCTATCTCAGCCTCCAGAGGCGCTGGGGAAATAGCTCAGTTGTTAGAGTGCTTGCCTTGCATGCACAAGGCCCTGGGTTCAAGCTGCAGGAAAAAAGAAAACTTCAGAGGCGCTGGGATTACAGGTGTGCACCACCAAGCCCCACCGAGTATTGCTTTGCACAGAATTTGTAATTTGAACCAGGGTAAGTGGAGAACTGTACTTGACACTCCTCATCTTCCCAGATTCAGGGGTCCAGAGTTCTTATGGGGAGGAGAGGAAGCATTCATCAGCGAGGGCGTGGTCACCTGTGATCCTCCACAATGATTGCTCCCTGATCCTCTGACATCTCCTTTTACACCCAGAAGCTGGAAGCTTTTGGAGAGCAACTAACTCTGTCATCTGCCCCAGGTACCTCCCTGATGGCACCCACCTGTCAGGCGAGAGGCTTCCGTTTTCCATCTGGGCCCAGTTCTCCCCCTGCACACCCACCCACCCCCTCACCCCACCCCCTGCCCTGATCCTATATCCTAAATTCCTCCATTGACTCCTGGGTGTTTCTCAGGCTTCTTTAGTCTCTGTCTTTCCTGATTTCTCTATCAGTTTGAAGAATCCTCATATCTACCTCCCTCCTTCAAACTGATAATCTTTTCTAACAAATAGTCTAGTTCCCCACCCTCCCAAGCCAAAGCACTCCCCCCCCCCCTTTTTTTTTTTTTGGCAGTGCTGGGGATGGAACCCAGGGCCTCCCACATGCTAGGCAAGTGTTCTACCACTCTACCACTGAACTACACTTTTTTTTTGTACTGGGGATTGAAACCCAGGGCAACTTAACCACTGAGCTGTATCCCCAGCCCTTTTTCTCCCTTAGAGACAGGGTTTTGCTAAATTGCTTAGGGCCTTGGTAAGTTGCTGAGGCTCCTTTTGAATTTGCAATCCTGTTGTCTCAGCCCTCTGAGCCTCTGTGATCACAGGCGTGCAGCCCCACATGTGGCTTGAACTACACTTCTAGCCCACAACAATCTTATTGCTGAAGTCATTGGTTTATTCCACTTTTCTGCAGCAGCTGACTTCCTGTAAACCTGCCCTATGGAAGGCAACATGATGGAGGGGTCTGTAGGAACTCATGGCATCCAGTTCGGGGAGAGCCAGAGGGGGCTCCTTGAAGGAGGTGGCACTGGGGCAGAATCTGAATGCATAAGTAGAACTTGGTCATGCAGAGAAGGGGATCAAGGACATTTTTTAAAAGTGGAAGGAGCTTGGTTGGCATGGTGGTGCATACCTGTAATCCCATCTACTCAGGAGGCTGAGGCAGAAGGATTGCCAGCTGAACACTGGTGTGGGTAACACAGGCTATACCTGAATTCAAATTGGAGGGACAAGAATAATCATTGAGAAAAGGAAATATGGTACCTTAAGGAAAAGGGTTGGGTGTGGATGTTTTCAAGAGAGAAGGAGAAATGAAAAATCCTGTGGGAAATAAAGAGCAAGGAATATCTGTCCTGAGAGTGGATGCCCCACGAGAGCAGAGGACAGTATCCCGCAGGAGAATGTGGCTCTGGACAGACCAGCCAGAACCTCCTGGGCCACAGAAAGAATTTTGTTCTCGATTCTCAGTGCGAGAAGCAGCCTTTGAGGACAGGACAAGATCAGTTTGTCTGGCTGTGGAGGTGGACACTGGCAGTCCCAGCTACTAGGGAGGCTGAAGTGGAAGGAGGATCCTGTGAGTCCAGGAGTTCAAGGTCAACTTGGGTGACATGGCTAGACTCCATCTTTTGAAAAACCAAAACCAAAAGAGAAGAAAGCCATGAACAAAGTAAAATGAGAATAGATAAAGGTGTTTGTTTGCAGACCTGCAATGGAAAGAAGTACATGTAAGCAAAGTAGATTCTTGCCAGGCACAGTGGTACATATCTATAATACCAGTGACCTCCAAGGCTGAGCTAGGAGGATCACAAGTTCAAGGTCAGCCTCAGCAACTTAGTGAGGCCCTGACAACTTAGTGAGACCCTTTCTCAAAAGAAAAAATAAGAGAGGGAGAGGGAGGGGGAAAGGGAGAAGGAGGGGGAGGGAGGGGGGGGGGGGGGGGGGGGGGAGAGGGAGGGGGAGAGAGGGAGGGGGAGGGAGGGAGGGGGGGAGAGGGAGGTGTAGATAGATAGAGAAAGCTCAAGCCTAGGGAGTGGGGATGTCTGAGTCCTCTCATGGATGACTAAACAAAAGGTCTCTAAGGTCTGCAAGGCAGTTGTTAACAACAGGGGCTCTGGCCTGCCTTGGTGGCACAGGCCTTCATCCCAGCTACTGCACAGGCTGAGTTAGGCAGGAAGATCTGAAGTCCAAGGCCAGGGCTGGGGTTGTAGCTCAGCGGCAGAGCACTCGCCCGGGTTCGATCCTCAGCACCACATAAAAATAAATAAATAAAATAATATAAAGGCATTGTGTCCACCTACAACAACAACAACAATAACAAAAAAGCCCAATGGCCAGCCTGGGCCACTGAGCAAGATCCTGTCTGGGGAGAAACACAGAAGGACACAGAGATGCGAAGCAGAGGCTGCAGGCTCAAGCTGGGCTGCAACCCAGGGCTTTGCGGAGGCTCCAGGGAGGACAGACCTGCTTGCTGCCATCAAAGGGGTCTTGGACAGGGTGACCTGAAACCTAGTTTACAGACCTCTCCCGGGAGTCTCAGCTGCTCAGGCTGGGCCTTCTGCTCCTGGCTCTAGCCATGACCTTAGGGTCAGTACCTGCAGCAAGGTCTTTTGCATTTCTTTGTGTTGGAGCAGCCCTGGGGACCTGCTGGCTGAGGGACTTTCTGCCAGGCATGCCCCTCCCCACCTGCAAGCATTTCCCTGAGCCCCAGGCCTCAAATAAATAAATAAGACTGGGAATGAAGCTCAGTGGTAAAGCATCCCCAGGTTCAATCCCCAGCACCAAACCAATCAACCAACCGACCAGTTTCAGTCAAAAAAGATTCCAGCAGAATGGATTGAAGAGGGTAGTCATAGGGAGAGGATGGTGCCCTAGACCTAGGGAGAAGTTGGAGAGACCCAAGGGTTGGACAGGTGGAGCTTGGTAAGAAGTCTGATAGGAGGATAAGGAAGAAGATGGAAAAAGACTTGCTTGAACAATAGATGCACAGACATGGTGCCATTGGTGCCATTTGTGTGATGGTGAAGGTTGTAAGGTTAGAGGCTGGGCAGGAAGGACTAACACCTAAATAGAGGAACAGGAGGGAAACTTGAGATTTTGCGTTACAGAGGGCAAGGCAGCCACCCAAACCAAGTTTCTAGCACATGAGATGGGCTAAAAGAAAAAATATGAGAGCCTGTGCCCTTCACCTTGGTGATTACAGTTCTCTCTCTCTCTCTCCAGGAGAGAATCTTACACTTGTTCCAAAAGAGACTCAAGTGGTTCATTTTCTCCTTCCTCCCTCCCTCCTTTTCTTTCTGATGTGGGGAATGGCACCCAAGGCCTCATGCATGCGAAGTACACTTTCCAAGCCACAGTCCAGCACCAAGTCTCTAACGATTCCTATATGTAAATGTTAAGATTGGATGTGAGTGTCCCCCGCAAAGCTCACGTGGCAATACAGGAATGTTCAGAGATGAAAAATCTGCTCATGAAAACTATAACCTAGTCAGTGGATTAATCCATTTGATGGATTAATACTTTGAATAGATTACTGGGTGGGTACTATAGGCAGGTGGGAGGGGCAGGAGGAAGTAGGCCACTCAGGAAGTATTTTGGGGATTATATTTTGTCCCTGACTCTGTCTTTTTTTTCTGCTTGCTAGCTGCCATGAACTGAGCAGCTTTCCTCCTCCAGGCCCCTCTGCCATGAAGTTCTGCCTCACTGCAAGCCCAGAGTGATGGAGTCAGTGGGCCATGCACCAGACCTCTTCAATCACAAGCCAAAATAAAATTTTCCTCCTCTGAGTTGTTCTCAACAGATATTTTGATCACAGGGAAGAGCTAAGTAACATGTAACTTTTTAATTTGTTTTTCGGTACCAGGGATTGAAACCAGGGATGCATTACCACTGAGCTTCTCCCTCAGCAGTTCCCAGGAAAATTTAAGGGAATGGACAGAAAAATCCTCCCTTGGATGTTTTTCTTTCATGACTATTTTCTGAATCTCTTGGTCTCTGCTATGACTTACCTTCATTAGAGTTTCATGAAAGGTGGCATTTGATCTGGCATAGGAGCTATAGGTCTACTTACTGTAGATTTAGTATAAATCTCAGTCGTGGTATTCCACCATTCAGGAACCGATGGTGTTGAAAGTCTGTGGGCAGTGGCTTTTCCAGTGTGAGATACCTGTCTCCCCAGGTAGGAAGATCTCTTCATGTGCAGATTTTCTTTCTTGTGAAAGTTATTAAGTGGAAAGAACATGAGATTTGGAGCCGGGAGAACTTGTTCAAGTCCAAGCTTGCCTTTAACTAACTGTGTGCCCTTAGGCAAGTTTCTTAAATGCTATGAGCTCCAACAGCTCCCTTTGCAAAGGGGGATTACATTATTTCTGCCTATGAGCAATCTGGGAATCCCAGAGTCCTGCCACACTGCCTCCCAATTGAAGAAGTGTCAGAAATGAACAAGTACTTATGCTTTACTCCTCGGACCTCAGGACTGTGGATCTTGGGAGGATCAGGGCTGTGACAAGGTCAGCTATCTCTGGAGGCCAGTGCCCTGGGAGCTGGGCTGGTGTGAACAGGGAAGGTGACTCAACTAGTCACCCAGTTTCTCTCACAGACACTTTAAATACAAGACTTATGTAGAGACTCGGGCAGCAGTGACACAGAAACCCTGAAATAAACACAGAAGAAAGCCAAAAGTAGAAGTCTCTGCAGTAGGAGTTTTGTGCATGCCAGAATCAGGAAGTAGCAAGAAGGGCAGAGAGGTAGTTGTTGGTGGTGGTTGCAGAAGCCTCTGGCACCTTGCAACACACCCCTTCATCTTCTTATTCACCTGTAGGTTCAGAAAGTGGTTCCCTGGACATAGCCGCTCTGCCTTCGGGTACCTCATTTCGGCTTCTTTGTCCTGGAGCTGTGGAAACTTTTTTGGTCCTTTGTGCAGGGTGACCCAGAAGGGCCAGGGATTTAAACTCCAGCCTGTAGGAGTCAGTGAATTGGTAACTGGCTTCCCCTTCCTGGGGAGCAGTAGCATGCTATGCTAGGCACATCCCTCAGGTGGCCTCAGTATGGCTAAGCCCCAGGTGCCCACAGAGGTGACCACCTTGCTGGCCTTCCTGGTTTCCCTGTCTCTCCCACCCCGCCTTGTCACTGTGCATCTCCTTCAAAATAAGCTACTGGCTAGGGGTGGAGTTCAGTGGTAGAGGCTGTGCTTAGCATGTGAGAGGCCCTGGGTTCCATCCCCAGCAACAAAATAAGTCACCACGTTATTTTCTTAGGCCCTTCTTTGGTAGACTCTGAACTCAGTACCGCCAGAAGAAGAGAAGCAGAAACAGAAATCTGCTTTGGGAGCTGAGAAGCAAAGGACCTGTCTGCAGGGACCTGCAGAAGTCCTGTGGCCTCCTGAACGACATCTTGGGTGAACTGTGCAGACAGCGAAGCTTCCTGTCAGCCAGACTGCCCAGCAGGCCCGAGGGACCCAGTCAGTCACTGGTCCTTTCACCTAAGCAGCCTTCTTCTAAGGATAACTGCATTTTGCTAAGCACCTACTGTGTGTCCAGTGACTTGCCAGGCACTTCGTGTCCATCTCACTCTCTAAACAATTTGCAAGAGAAGGTGATAATCTTTTTATTTTTATTTTATTTTTTTAGTTTTAGGTGGACACAATATCTTTATTTTACATTATGTGGTGCTGAGGATCGAACCCAGTGCCTCACGCATACTAGGCCAGTGCTCTACCACTGAGCCACAACCCCAACCCTGATAATATTTATTTTAGAAAAGAAAACAATGGCTGGGCCTGGTGGCACACACCTGTAATTCTAGCTACTGGAAGCTCAGGCAGGAGAATTACAAGTTTGAGGCCAGCCTGGGCAACGTAGGAAGACCCTGTCTCAAAATAAGAGGGTTGGGAGATGGTCTGGGGTTATAGTTCAGTGGTACAGTGGTAGAGCCCTTTTCTAGTATGTGTGACACCCTGGATTTGATCCTCAGCACCACAAAAGTATTGTGTCCACCTACAACTTAAAAAAAAAAGAAGGAAGGGTAGGGGTCTGGGGGTGGGGGCTTGATCCCTAGTGCTACAAAACCAAAAAACCCCAAGTGGATACTGGCATCAAGACAGACCTGTAGATCAATAACCCTGTGAAAAATAGCTTGGTAATTCCGAAAAAAGATAAATATATAGCTGGGTGTGGTGGCATTTGCTTGTAATCTCAACCATTTGGGAGGCTGAGGCAAGAGAATCACAAGTTCAAAGGCAACCTCAGCAACTTAGCAAGACCCTGTCTCAAAATAAAAAAGACTGGGGATGTTGCTCAGTGGCTAGGCATCTCTGGGTTCAAATCCAAGTATTTGAAAGAAAGGAAAGGGCTGGGGATGTGGTTCTAGCAGTAGCGCGCTCCCCTGGCATGCGTGCGGCCCGGGTTCGATCCTCAGCTCCACATACAAACAAAGATGTTGTGTCCGCCGAAAACTAAAAAAAATAAATATTAAAAAAACTCTGTCTCTCTCTCTCTCTCTCTCTTTAAAAAAAAAAAAAACCTACAAATCTCCTGCCTCAGCCTCCTCAGTCACTGGGATTACAGGGGTCTGCCACCCTGCGTGACAGGAGTTGGTTTTTAAAAAAAAAAAAAAAAAGAAAGAAAACATTTTGCTGAGTGAAATAAATCAGACACAAAAAAGGACAACTATTGTATGATTCCACTTACGTGAGGCACCTAGAACAGGTAAATTTGTAGAGACAGAAGTTAGAGTGGAGGTTATCAAAGGTTGCAGGGAGGGGGAAAGGGAGTTATTGTTTAATGGGTACAGAGTTTCAGGTGATGAAAAAGTTCTGGAAATAGTGATTGATGGTTAAATATTTTGAATGTACTTAATATCATTGAATTGTATAGTAAGGTGGTTTAAATGGCTAATTTTTTGTTATAAAAATTTGACCATGGTTTCTACAACTTGGATTTTGTTTGTTTGTTTTGATACTGACGATTGAAACCAGGGGTGCTTTAGCCATATCCCCAGCCCTTTTTATTTTTTTATTTTATTTTACTTTTTAGTTGTTGATGGACCTTTATTTTATTCACTTATTTGTATGTGGTGCTGAGAATCGAACCCAGTGCCTCATACATGTGAGGCAAGCGCTCTACCACTGAGCCACAACCCCAGCCCCCTTTTTATTTTTTTTATTTTTGAGACAGAGTCTCACTAAGTTGCTTAGGGCCTTGCTAAGTTACTGAGGCTGGTCTTGAACTTGCAATCCTCCTGTCTCAGCCTCCCCAGTCTCTGGGATTACTGACATGCACCACCATGCACAGCCATAATTTCTAAAACTTACACATATTAAAAAAAAAAAACAGTAACAAATATAGGAGATTCAAAACATTGGGAACAACACAATGTCCTTCAATGGGTGAGTGGGTAAGTTGTGGTACATTCATATCATGGAATAAAATGGAACCAACTATTGGTATATGGCAACTTAAATTAGTCACAAAGGCATGATGTTGAATGAAAAAAGCCAGTCTCAAAAGGTGACATACTATCATTCTATATATAATGTTCTCAAACAGGGAAAACTATGGGAAGAGAACACAGACTAGTTGGTGAGGGGGTTTTTATGGGTGATGGAACTGCTCTGATTATGGCGGTGAACATGCATAGAACTAATTTTTTTTTTTTATTGGTACTGGGGACTGAACACAGGGGTGCTTAACCACTGTGCCACATCCCCAGCCCTTTTATTTTTTATTTTGAGACAGGGCCTCGTTAAATTGCTTAGGGCCTCACTAAGTTGCAGACGCTCATCTCAAACTTTGGATCCTCCTGCTTCAGTCTCCCAAGTTGTTGGGATTACAAGGCGTGCGTCACTGTGCCCGGCCATAAAACTATTTTTTTAAAAGTCAAGTTAATTGAATAATAATTTAAAATAAAAAATAGGGCTGGATGTATAGCTCAGTTGGTTGCCTCTCATGTGGAAGGCCCTGGGTTCAATCCCTAGCATAAATAAATAAATAAATGGGGGAGAGCTGGGGATTTCGCTCAGTGGCAGGCACTTGCCTAGTACGCATGAGGCCCTGGGTTCAATGCTCAGCCCTGAAAAATAAAATAAAATAAATGTGAGATTCAGAGGAAGTGATCAGTCCAGGATCACACAGCTCTTCTGCGGCAGGGCTGGAACTTGGACCTAGGTCCATCTACTTCCCAGGCTGCCTGGTTTCCCCAGCATGCTGCCCCTTAGGTGGATGGTGTGCGGATCAAATGAGATAATGGCGGGAAAGTCCTTTGTAAATAGCTCCGGGCTATACAAATGTCAGGCTTCCTTATTAATCAGAAATCTGGCTGCTTCCCCAGCCCCCAATTTAATGAAGAGACTTATTATTATTGACTTGGACACTCAACCTTGACCTTCAGTATATTAAGAACTGATATCTTAAAACACAAAACAAAGCAAACAAGCAAAGAACAACAATGGGTGGCATCTTTACTCCTTGCTTATAAAACTTCATGTCTTTCAAGAAAAAAAGAAGCTGAAAAAAAAAGACAGGTGACAGCTTAAAATAAGAAGATTGCAGACTCTGGGGTATAGAAGACGGTACTGAGGGGTGGTGGAGGGCGCGGTGAGCAGGACTCTTCAGGGAGACTAAGGGATGGGGAGAGGTGGGTGCGGGGTGCACGCCTGTAATCCCAGGGGTTTGGGAGATTGAAGCAGGAGGATCACAAGTTCAAAGCCAGCTGCTGCAAATTAGCAAGGCCCTAAGCAACTCAGCAAGACACTGTCTGTAAATAAAATATAAAA